ATCAGGGGAGAATTCAATACCTCAAGGTGCAACGAACTCAAAGCTCGAACAAAGGAGAAACAGTGGACAGTGGCACTCTCCGACATACCCGACTGGCCAAGAATCGAAGCCGTTGCTGAGTTTAGACTACGTACCGGACACGATTGCTTGGCAAAACACCTTCACAGATTGGGAGTATACACTCAACCCACATGTCCTCTATGTAACCAACGGGAGGAAATGGAGAAGACCCACCTGATTCGGTGTCCAGCCCTAAAGACGACGACGGAAACCAAGAGATACTGGGAAGCAAGAAGACAGCTAATGAACTGCTATTAATTAACTGCTATATATGTACCCCCCCCCCCACCTATGAGGAAATCTTAAGTCAAAATTTAACGGCTAATGATAAACATCATAAAGCCTTCCATTTGAAATAATAATATTAGTAATACTCCAATTATCAGTCCCGGCATATCCACGAAATAGCATTAGGGATGAAAAGGAACGAATTTGTATGAATAGTATAATTTATTTATTATTTCTTAAACCAGTGCAAACGTGCGAGGACGTTCATTGGTTCAAATAAGCAATACAAGGTGATTTAATAGATAAGGGCCAAAACAAATGCAAATATAGCCAAAAATGTATATATATATATACATATACTTACTAAATTTGAGAAATTTTGTGAATTTAAATTCGAATTTCAGAACCAAAAACAATTAAAAATGCACGAAGCGGCATTAATAATTTTAAAGAGAGATTGGAGGAGCAAGAATTAGATTAATTTATATCGTCTATTCCTAGGATCGTCCTCTCATTATTCAAGGAGTACAATTCACTACAGAAAAATCTGATAATGTGAACTTGAAGTGCCAATTATGCCCATAGGAGAATTTGAGGTCCAAATTAAAACAGCTTTAATTAGTCATACTGGTTGAACTAATAAGTAGATGCTCTGAGGTTCTCTATGCCTCTTCTGGTCGTCAAAGCGCAGCCACTGAAGTCAAACCACAATCAATGGTACTCGACCGTTGCGCTACAAACACAGAAGCTCATACACATCGACATTCTTGATAATTAGAATATTCTGGATAACAGGACCTTGACAATTGCGAAACACTCCTCTTTCTTGACTAGTGCTATGTCTTCAAGTGCGTATCGACAAAGGCAAAGTGCACAGCTCATTATTAATAATAAGAAAGGCAAGCCGTTTGCATTCTCATAAGACTCGAAAGGGTGAATTTTAAGAAAAATTAACCAATACTTGCAAAGGAGCAGGAAAAAAGTCTAAAGCATTAACCAATGGTGACGAAAATTAACTGGTTTAAAATTAAATCCTCTTCCAATTATTTCATCCTAAAAGGTTTGAATTCGATTGCTAGAAGCATGTTCACAATTTTTAGGTACGAATTGCACATTTTTAGCTTGAAAACGATAAAGTCATCGGCCAAGTATCAAGTGAAATTACAAAGAAACTCTTGCGAACTTTGACCATTTTGATGTAGAAACTATAATTTACTATTGACTTCAAGAAAATAAAATTTTCATGTCCTGAGTACTTGGAGATCACGCATTTCGTTCCATGCGCGTCTGGAATTTGTCAAATATTTGAAGAAAGTATGCACCCACCGTCGAATGAATTTCAAACATTTGAATGACTTCCAGCCTACTAACCAAGCAGTAATACGTTGTTTTCTTCTGTTATTGCCGATGATAGGTGTATAAGATGTAAACTACTATGAAAATGTCACGACTACGAGCATTAGCCGACTTTAATTTACTTTTCACATGTTTCTGGGTGTTCCTAAGTGGCAAGACAACCAAACATTCAAATATCCCTTAGCAACTAACAAATGAAATTTATAATCATTAACAGTGTTTTACAAAGCACGAGTAACGTCTGCGGTGTCTTGAGGGCTTACGATGACTTTCGTCAAATATCCTATTTAAAGTGAAACGTGATTTTAAGCCATAATTGTCTACAAGGTGCTAATTAGCATTTCGATTTGGCAGTTATTAAATTCATTTTTGTTGTGCCTTGAAGTATTCAAAGAGATTAATGACGTAACTAGTAGGAAAAATATTATCTGTTAATTAAAATTATATTTCCAAGTTTTTCAGTTAGCACATAATTGGTTAAGCGGCTTAAATAATCAGTTGTGCTAGATGCGTAGAAAGCAGACATAAGACTTTGAGTGAACGCAGTGAATTGAAATAATGATTAAATTGACATTTATGACCTAAAGGATGTAGGTTATTAAGTATTACCTCAGATTATCTACCTTAACAGACTTTTGATAGTTTTTGGTGGGAAGGGGGGGGGTGGGAGGGGGTGAAGGAGATCGAAACATTTTGATTAGAATTTCAGGTCCTAAGTCACTGAATTTCGTAAGTGATGATTTGCTGTAATTCGGGGAGGGGAGGGGGGGGGAAGAATTGTGAGATCTGAATTTTGGAATGCAAAACTGTCCAATTAGTAAGGAGTAAACACCCCAAATCCAATACGAATGCCTTGATTGAACACGAAGTGAACTTTGATAATGTCAACTCTGGGCTCATCTGAAATCCGTTACTCTTGAGGCTACCTTGCACTTATCACAAGCTGCATAACTAAAGATCCTTTAGAATTCAAACTTTCAGACTCGATCATAACATCGACCTCTAACTTTAGACTTTTTCTACCTCAATAATAGAATTATGCCTGAATTTATTGTGGTTGTGGTGAAGTGGTCAACAGTTTTGAAGGATACTATTATAGCCACATCCCCCAAGTCAGACGTTCAAGGTTAAATTTTAATTGATTTTTACAGAGAGACTTCAATCAAAATATAACCTGCACTTGTTTTGAAAATAATCCATAACTTCTTCGTAAACCAAAAGGCAGATGCAATGAATATAGTTCAATGGGTTTCTCTGTTTTCATAATTATTCTCCAAATGCCTAACAATTGAAAACCGTAAAACATTTCCACAAGGCTGAAATTGGTACCACCATGTATCAAGATGTGCATAAAGTAACCGTGAGATGCGAATTCTGACCAATAGTGGCATCTTACATCAACCTAAATTTTCAAATTATCAACGAAGTGTTAATTTGTTTTTTTTCTTTGAATTCGAATAAGTCTCCTGGAATGAAAAGCAACCTATCGCCTATTGAAGATACTTTAAACTAAGCCTTGAAAGAGAGCAAAATTGAAAATGTGATGCTTGCAAACTGCATCGATTGACCAGAACAAAAGAAAAGCTAACATTTTTAAAGTCTTTAATATATTTGTACAAATTTCAACGTTAATCGATTTCACATTCGCAAATGCATAATTCCAAGCTGACAAATCTTGGAGTCAGCAATATTCTGCGGAGGGGTGGTAAATTGGGCGTAATAGTAGAAAGGAAAACCGCAAAGACAATAATATCACAGAATAGCACTCATTTGATCTATCACCATGGTCAAATTGAGTAATAGAATACAGAGGGGAAGTGAGGGGTGGGGTGGGGTGGTTGAATATTAGCCACTTCGTCCTCCGCCTACTGTTGTAGACGAAATAGTCTCATCACCATTCCCAGCAGTATTCGACAGAGCAGCCGTCTTGTTTGAGGCCTCTAAGGTCTGCGACGCGGGAGATGCCCGATTAGGATCACTCGAGAGTGTATAAAGGAGACCCATCAAATGCTCGCGATAGCCTGCATCTGCGCCATCCTCATCGGTCGGTAATCGCATAGATTCCTCTTTAATTTGCTCCCCATTAGCTAAACTATTCCAACATTCCTTATTTGCCTGACAACCTTCAAGTAAGGGCGTCAAACGGTCACAGACACGGGCGATCAACTAAAAAGAAGATAATGACTACACAAACCTGCGGATATTGCAAAAAAAAGAATAGCGACAATTCCACTAAACCTGGTAAACAGGAGTACAGACTCCTTCGATGAAATCTATTTGCATCTGCGGAAATTTGTGACTCATTTCTCGATCCATCATAGCCTATAGAAGAATGTGAAAATTAATCCAACTCAATGTTTATAAATCTAAAATATCCTTAACTTACGCATGGTTTAATATTGAACTTCTGCCGTTCAAGATCCCCTTGTTCAAAGAATTCGTTTGAGACCATTTCTGCAGACTGGAATGATAAAAAATGATAACGAAAACAAAAAACCCCTTTTTTCTTAATGCAAGAAATGTGGTTCTAATGGGACTAATTGGTTATCTACCTTCTTTTGCACTGGCCACGGCTTTGTACTAGCGGAGATATCACTTGCGGTCATCATCATGGACATCAATAGTTCACGACTAGAGGCTTCAGTTTGCCACATTGTTTTGACAGCGATGCCGCCTTTTAACTCACCTTCGCCCACAGCGGTGAGACGCTCGTCCAGCATTTTGCGGAACTCAGGTAGACGAGCGAAATATCGAGAGAGATCGGTGGCCAGAATAGCCTTTTCCATGATATTCACAGCTTTCCGGTACTCATCATGACTTAGGTTGCAGAGAATGTCCGTCCCCTTAAAAATGACAGCGGTTGTTAGCCATAAATAAATATTTACATCAAAAAAAGTAAAAAAGCAACACTAATAGATGAAAATGGATTCGGTTAATTGAGGTTATTTGATTTCTGTATCAGGTGAATTCGAAAGGATTTTTTGTCGTTTGATCCCTTCTAAAGACGTATACTTTACCACTTAATCTGCATACGCTCCAGTAAATGTTCATTCAAGAATATGTCTCAAAGGATAGTTTAAAAAGGAAATTGAAACCCTACTTTTGTATTGAGAAGCATAATGCACTGATCAAAGTGGTGATGCTCCAGAACGGAAGTTGAATAGAGATTGACGAGGGGAGACATTGTTTGAATTTGGAACTGGTTATTTGTGCCGCGATGATCCAAATCATGCGAGAGACAGGCGATTATGATTGAGAGGCATTCAAGGTCACTGAATACTTCCTGCATCCCACCAGACTAAAATGCAAAAATGCAATAGCAGATCATTGATCAGCAAGAAAAATGGGAAGCAGCCTTCACCTTGAAAAATAGACATGACACTTGAAGTTATTTGACAATTGGCATTCTATTTTTTTTTCTTGCGTCCATTTGCTTTAGGAAGATATATTTAGAAGGCATGATGAAGTTGGGTATCATGGTGTCTTAATTTAATATTCATAAAAAAATTGTCCAAGGTGAATTCGCATACCAAAATATCCCCCATTGGCGAACATGGATGTAAATTTTCACCATTAAAGAATTAAAATGAAAGCCCATTCCGAAGTTAGGTAAATATAAAAAGTTCACTCCCGTTCTTACTTAACTAAATAAATTTTTCAATTTCGCTTTCAGCCCGCGAGTTGTTCGACTGACCAAAATTGCATCGGTGAATTGAAGTCAATACTCGAGCAAAGCACATTATTTTTTTCCCAATGTTGAAAGGCAAAATGCATCTCCTTCGCCTTCCCCAATAACATTTGCCAACATTTTGACCCACTTCTTTGAAAATTTTTGTCATGCCAAGAAGTAATGAGGTTAAATTAAACAATAATTCTTTAAGCATGCAACTGCAGCATTTGCGCTAAGGCCTAGAAAATGCGAGTAAGTTGAGAGGAGCCTTGCCTGACTTTTAATAATAATTGATCATATCCAAATTCAGATTTATTCTCATCCAGTTCATATTTACTTAAACAGGGGTGTGCGATAGACTTACCTCCACGTGATGCACTCTTGGCAACGTATACTCATACGGCAAAAAAGTCTATTAATCGGCAGTTGATCTCTGACTTCAAACTACCCCCACCCCACTGTATGTCATATTCGACCGCTTCCACATTACTCACCTTACCTTTTCCCTGCCCTTGTTTCTGTCTGTCTATCTCTTTTACATCTATGAATCATTATTCTGCCCTCCCTCTCGACTTTTGACCTTCGATGTTCCTCCTCCCCTCTGTGAAGCCCAAAGTCAGCTAAAGGGCTAATGATAACTATCAAAACGCCTGCCATTTGATATAAATAAATAAATAATAACTGATCA